GGAGAGAAAGTTATCGAAGTGTTTGAAAAGATGGTAGTCGATTGGCGAGAGGTCTGGAGAGAATGGTGGGTGTGGCAGAACTTCGACGCTCAATTTGTTTAACTTTTGGATGGTGATTTATGAAACGCGCGGACGGGCATTGTCGTGGAGCAGGATCGGACCTCTTCTGTTGACCAATGCCGACTGCCGCAGACGTAATTTTCGGTACATTTCGTCGATTTCACACCAGCCGCTGACCACCATACAATAACCATGATAATTTTTTAGTAGGGAAGGGTAGAGCATGGGTGTCTCATCAGTGTCCAACAACTGTCCTGAACATCTCCTGTTGTCATAGAGGATGCACTTTTCGTCACACGTGTCTATCCGATCCAAAAAAATATCATTTTGGTTGCGTGAAAGCAAAGAAGAACAGTCCTCGAAATGTGACAATTTTTTGGCGCATCCACTTTTTGAGCTTCTTGACCTTTCCATTACGTTTCAAACCATAAAAAATCGCATGGTAGCTGACTTCCAGTTCTTCCGCCATCCCAGCACCGTTTGTAATGGGTCAGTATTCACCAGGGTACTCGAATCTTCGTCCTGGATTACTGTAGGTCGAACATTTCGAGGATAAACTCTCCGGAACGAAATTTCGCAAATCAACGTCCAACAGTGCGTTCGTTATTAATATCATTGCCAAATGTCTGGTTAATTTTTTTGGCTGTTTCTGCAGCGCTTTGATTCAATTTGAATTTGTAGAGGCAAATTTGATATTGATATTGAATTGACTCCCAAGTAATTTAACTTCGGCATTTTTATTGACCTTTTCATGATTTGCGGTCAAATTTTATTTGAGTTTACATATCGAATTCACAACGTTTTGGTCATTTCTAAATCACAACCACCTCTGAAAAGTGCCTTATCGAAACTCAATTGGCTGAGCTTTTGTTAGGATGTAATATACATTTTTTTTTTCAAATTAAAACATTCTCATACTTAATCATTCTTTTGTTCCTTAATGCTATGTGCATGACAAACCATCTTATCTGAATGTTTGGGTAACAGACATAAACTTCACCTTGAATCGACTTCCAAATTGCATTTTCATTGTCCAATTTATGATTACACATTCAATTTTATGTGAATTTATATTCCGAATTCTTCCTAATCACAACGGCATCAGAAAAGTTTTACTAAAATGATTTTCACTCCAATTCCAAATAGGTACCTAGCTATTTCGTCTGACAAATGCATGCATTTTGTCATGACTATTACATACATAGGTATATTTTTTTCTATTCTTTACATTTCGTTAAAATACCTATTATCTTCACGATAATTCTGTTAAAGTACGGGTTTTAAAGCAAGATTTCCTGTAAACAAGAATTATTATTAGTCGAAATTTAAATATTGTTCATAACAATTATATTTGCCTAGCAATACTCGTAGTCTTAAATCCAACTCTCTTGCCACTTTTAACATGAGAAATAGCACCATTATTCTCTTTTCTATCAGTACTTTGATAGTACTGGTTTGAAATCAGAATATTCTAGATAATCTGGCTCACAAGATCCTTTTTTTGGAACTTCTGTCCAAGGACACCAAAAATTATGATCCAGAACTCATTCGATTTGGAGTAAGCTTTAGCAACTTTCTGGAAAATTTCAAGAGGGGCTAGAAAAAATTGCAAAAGTTATAAATGATTTAGTAAATAAAGGGGGGTATTGNATACACGGAAAAAATTTTAGAATTTAGCTCTCGGTTTTTTGTCTCCCTCCGCTTCGCGTCGGGAAACAAAACAACATCGAGCTAAAATATAATACTTTTTCCCCTGTATAATGAATAACTATTTTTCACCACTGTTTCTCCATTACCTTAAATTTCCGGTGGGTGAATGTATATTTAGTATCAGTATTGCACCGCGCGCAGCCGGGGCGGATCACTAGTATATCATAATCAAAGATTTGCAGATCATGCACAGTTTCTTCAGATACAAACTGGAATAGAAATCATATCCAATACAACTACTTTCACATATATAAACAGTGAATTAGATGCAAATCGCAACATCGCAAAAATCAAAGAAACGGTAACACTAACTATACAAGGTAGCATGAAAAAGTATTGATATAAAATTTCACTTACAAGAATCATTTTACACCGCATTTCAAATGAGTTATTTCTAGGAAGAGGCAAGGTAGTAGTTTTTGTAGATAAGAAACTAATAATTGACAATTTATTATGTTTATGTGACACTCCCCCCCCCATAAAGAAAAACTAAATAGTAGGATAAATGGGAAAAATCTGTATATTTCGTTGAGTGCCCCTCCGCAGCTATGTTACAACTGGAGATATACCAAGAAGTTTGTCAAAAAAACAATAACAAGTAAGAGTTTCGAGGTAGACCAAAGAATGTATTAATTCCAAAATAAGGTCAAGTTTAACTCAAAATGTGAGATATTTCGAATATATTAGGTATATTATTTTTTGTTTGGCAGTTTTGACTGCCTCTGAATCGACAAATGCAATCAAATATCATTATCCATAAGATGTATCTTTTTGGGGGAATTACAAATGTTCCTGTATTCAAAATAGATCATTCATTTTGTGCTAATGTGTGGGTCTTACCATTTCCGAGATAGCAATAGTGGGATCAGCTAAAAAACGGTCTATAAAAAGTGTTTCCTAACTACGGTACGAAAATGCAAAGGTTATTTCTTTAGATCGTTTCAAGATAAAAGTTCTCATGAACATATGTCCGGAGTTGCTTCGTTTCTGAGATGAAAGGCGTAAAAGTTAAAAAAAAAAGTTATTTATGAAATATCATAAATATCCTACACCGATTTGGTTGAAATTTGCTACAGTTACTTGAAGTAAATAGGCGCCTATTTAGCCTTAACTATATTGAAATTATTAGGTCCAGTGAAGTGTCAGTAGGCATATCAGCCAACAAAAAAATACGCCACTGACGTGTAGGTTTTTATTTTTTTAGACTAACCTATTGTAAATACCACTTTTTTGTGGCTTGTTTTCTTCACATCTAGCTTCGTTTTCGAGAAAAGAAATGAAGCCAGTTTGCATACCATGAACACCTGCTTTGGAGACCAGCTGACAGTGATAGTGTTGTCATGTCAGTGAAAGTCAGAATGGCCAATTAGCTGTTATTCTATCGCTGAAAGGGCCGACATGCACTTCATTTATGGATTAGCAAATGGATATGCGGAAGAAGCACGAAGAAATTATCAGGACAGATATCTTAATAGAGTAATTCCATGTGCTAAAACGTTTAGAACGCTACATGCAAGATTATGTAATACTGGGAGTTTCAATAAAAATGCAGGTGGTGGAAGACCAGAAACAATGCCTGAACTAGAAGCTATACTTGATGCGATAGAAGATCTTTTAAATATTACCAGGAAGATTACACTGCAGCTTAAAGTCAGCCCCAAAGTAATTTGGAAATTTTAAAAAAGAAACCTCCTATACCCATACCCATATCACACACAGCGGGTCCAAGCACTACTGCGTCGGGATTTCCACTCAAGATTAATGTTTTGCACGCGGTTGATTCATACGATGGCATACAATAATAATTTTTTACCAAATATTTTATTCAAGGACGAAGCAAATTTTCACGAGATGCTATTATGAACTTCCACAATAACCATTTTTGAGCCGACGAAAGTCCCGAGGTTATTAGAGAAAGTCATTTTCAGCAAACAATTTTCGCTGAACGTTTCGGTAGGAAAATCAACAGGTGAATCCTGCACGGACTGTTTGCGAGATCATTTACCTACCCATTTTGTTAGAAGAAGTGCTGCTTCTTGTAAGAGGCAGCATATGTTTATGCACGACGGTGCTCCAGCTCATGTTAGTGTTCTTGCTCGTCAGCATCTCGACATCACCCACCCTAATCGCTGTATTGGACGCGCAGGACCTCAAAATTGGCCTACTCGCAGTCCTGATTTAAATCCTACAGACATGGGGTCATCTGAAGGCTCTTGTTTATAAAACACCTGTACTAGATGTGAATGACTTGATGAATCGAATAATTGACAATTGCAATGTCATAAGGAAGGAATACTTCAGGTATTTTTGAACGTATAAGACAATATTACCGGATTCAATTAGTTTTAGAGATATAGCCTGACCGAGTTTGTATGGCGTCAGATTTTACCTTTTTTTTAAGTAATAAACGATTGCAATTTGCATGTTTTTATTTGACACAACTTTTTCCATATCATCGCACCTTTTATTATCCCTTTTCAATCACTTATTGCCGAGTTTCCTGAAATTAGAATGAAATTCCATAATTTGTCAGGTGCACACAAATCACTTTTTATAAATTGCATTAATAAAATACGTTCCTTTTAGAATTCGGAGGTTAAGTTAGATGTTGAGGATACATAGCTTTAAAAATTTTAAAGTAAGGTCGGATAAGGTTAGGTTGAGTTAGCATGTGACAAATTATGGAATTTCAATCTAATTTCAAAAAACTTGGCAATAAGTGAATGAAAAGGGATAGAAAAAAGTGCGATGATATGACAAAAAATGTGTTGAATGAAAAATATGTGAATTGCAATCGTTTATTGCTTAAAAAAAAGATAAAATATGTCACCATACAAACTTTTGACAAGCTATATCTCGAAAAGTAAAAAATAAAAAATGGTTCTGGATTCCTACCATCACGGAATATCATCACAGAAAAAATCGCGAAAATCCGTGAGTATCCCATAAAGTGGAATTTTTCCTTTTTTTCTCAATATTGTTGTTTGTGGTGCCCAGTTAGAGCTACTGGACCTAATATTTTCAATCTAGTTTCGTACCGTAGTTAGGAAACACCCTTTATATTCTGTGCCCAAATAAAGCAAGGCAGCATTGTAAAATCAGAAACGGTGAGGAATACAACCTCGATTGAATAAGGAAAAAGTTGCTCATTTCAGAACACATCCTTATCTTCGACACTTTGTATATGTAATATACTCAGTTAATGATTTTCAAATATTTGACGTTTTTAGGTTTTCAGCCAGCTAAAGGTCTATGGGGAATGAAGCACACCAGAAAACCAGTCGACTACTTAGTATCTCAAGCAAAAATGCTACCCGCAGATGTCATACTACCAATAGTGAAGTTGAAAATAACACGGGACGGACTGAGCTACTTGGACCTCACCAAAAACTTGGATTGCAAACCGGTAACTTTTTCCGTGGAAGCCATCTCCTACGGCGTACAAGACCTGGTGTACACCAGGGTATTCAGCATGATCGTAGTTACGGATGACAACCTGAATAACGGCATCCCCTTCGTGTGTCATAGTTTTTTGTGCGAATCGAGGGATCAAGCGAAAAAAATTACATACGCTTTAGCCGCGGCTTTCCAGGATTACGGACGAAGAGTAAAGTCGGAAAAAGGTCCTGGAGAGAGGTACGTGAAGAAGTTTGCGATCGATTTAAGAACTCCGGAGGAACAGGCCGAAGCGTCGGATGGGGAAACAGATGCCTAATTATGTGTTTACTTTTCATTTTTAAGTGAGACTTTTTTCGAACTTTGTTAACAGAAATAACTTCAATAATAACCCCAATAATATTTTTTACATTCATGAAGAATCACAAAGGGGTGAAAGTATAAATAAATATCAGAAAAAGATTAATGTCAACAATGTGAATTTTATGAATAAAATCAACTCAATCATCAAGATTCACCTCGATCAACCCTCATATCAACTTGATAATGGAATTCGTGGAGTTAGAGAATATTTATTTGGAATATAATACAGTTTTGTTTATCAAGAAATAAATAGTTTTGTTTATCAAGCAATAAATTATTCATCGGAGGAAGGTCCTTTTGTAGTATTTGTAGACGACACAACTGTGATACCGTCCGATAATGATGAAAATACACAAAACTATCAAAAGACGGACCTAATATTATTTGAAAAAATAAAATTATGAGGAATGATACACAAAATAAGTCTGATTACGATTACTGAGTGAAATTTTTGATTTACCTACTTATTAAGGAATTTGAAAACTGATCTATTTGTAGATCACACGTTCAAAAAATCTCAACTGATTTTTTAGTTCAGTCATTTTAGGCATTTTAAACCCCAATCTGCGAAAAAATTCCAAGTTGTAATGCAGATGTGAAAAATCCTGTCGGCTAAAAAAGTTATAACGGTCAAAAGGTCACGAAAATCAATTTTTCGCTAATATCTAGAAATCGTTATGAAAATTTTTCTGTAAAATTAATCGTTTTTGGAGTAGATCGTTGAGAAAGCGACTAAAATGCACTCACATATGATATGGTATACCGTGCAACACATAGATAGGCTTTATTGGCTATTTCACACAGTGGTTTACAGCACGCCACAAAGTACAAAAAATATTGAGAGACAATATGTAAAAATGTAAAAACAATCAGGTCATTCACAAAAACATTTTTTTTAATTACATTAAAAAGAATAATTCGAAAATTCTTCTACGCTATAAAAACAATTTTTTAGGAGTAGACATTTCATATCAGCTTTAAAATGTCTATCGTTCAGGGAACGCACTTCTGAGCTCAACTTGTTATAAAGTTTCAAATTGAGGGAATTTGACTTCGACTTATTTAGCCTGAAACGTTTTAGTGCTATTTGATTTGCTGATCTCGTGTCGTATTTGTGAAGATCTGACGAAACAGTATAGTTTCCTTTGTTTGAGTGTATTTCACAAAGGGTTTGATATATGTAAATGCATGATAGTATCATTATTTTCATGTCAGTAAAGAGGTGACGACAGTGTTCTCTTAGTCCGACTCCAGCCAGAAGACGAATAGCTTTCTTCTGTGATCTGAAGATGTTTAGCGCATTGCTGGAATTTCCCCATAGAATGGTTCCACAGCTAATACGCGACTGAAACAAAGCGAAATATATTTGCCAGAGTGATTCGCGACCTACAACATATCTCAATCTTCTTAAGAGAAATATTGTACTGGAGTGTCATCGATTGTAATTCCAAGTTTACAGTGTTCTCCTGATGTGTATTTATTGTTACTGGATATAATCAGTCGTTGCGTTTTTTCACCATTTAGTTGTAGGGAGTTTGCAGAAAACCAATTTCTAGCAAGGTCAATCAAATTGTCAGCAAGAATTTTGAGTCTATGAAAATCTGACGAACTATTGATAAGTGACGTATCGTCAGCAAAAATAATGGTGGATGTATCCTGTAGCATATGCTGACAAATTTCATTTATGTGAATGATAAAAAGCAAAGGACCAAGGACCGTTCCCTGTGGAACTCCATGTTTCACTGTCCTGAGCTCAGATGTAGTATTTTTAATTTTGACCAGTTGCTGCCTATTTGTTAAATACGATGACATCAATTTGAGTGATGTTCCTTTAACCCCATGATAACTTTTCTAACAGTAGGTCGTGTGAGACACAGTCGAACGCCTTGGACAAATCGCACATAGAAAAGATGGAATGTTGCTTTTTTTCAAGGCCATCGACAATATCCTCCACGACCTTCACTAGTGCCCTTATTGTAGATTTGTTTTGGCGAAAACCAAATTGAGTGTTGGCGAGGAAGTTATTCTTTTCAAAATAATGTATTAACCTCAACAGCGTAAACTCTATTGCTGCTTTTGCTCATATTTTCAATATTACATTCTAATATTTGAAAAAAAAGTTTTTATGTTATTAAACATTCACAAAATAATAAAAGAGTGCAAGCAAGCGGCCATAGAAGCACCAGTAACATCTACAAGTCGATCAACATTGGATATTGACAAGAATTTGAAGCAGGGAGTAAGGACAAACTATGTTTTTTCTTCAATAAATACTAACAGTGGTCAAAACTTATGCACCTGTACAGGAAGATCCAGATTATCATAAAATGAACCAAAACAGTTCTGACTATCGTATTGAATTCTTTATTTGTCATTTTAACTTTGTCTTCTTTGATGTCTTGCTTTAATCTTTGTCCAGTAGTGTATTGACCCACAAGAGTCGACAATTCAAAAGCCATAAACTCAGTAAAAAGATTACTGTTAGTAACCGATACCCTTAAACATAAATTTAAAAAACATGTAATCGATTTTGTTGCAGCATCGCGGTGTACAGCAAATTTCTCCTTATCATTATGAATTAAATCTGATAGAGCTGATAGTGGCATGCGTGAAAAAGGATGTCGTTCGAAAAAAATCTTGTTCCATTGTTGGATGTATGTGATCCAGTCCCTCACATTCGCGTAAAACTTGAGAATAATGTATTTTTCATAACCGATCCCTACTCTGTTGAAGCAGTTTTTTTCCAGAGGGTATCTTTATAAGGGTTTTCCCAAATGCATTTCCAGGTATTTTCCAGTCTTCCAGTCTTTCATATTGACCCATTTCCTGATCTGCTTCTCACAGCTGGTTCAGATACTGTTTATGAAATTGGTATGTGTCCAAATCAACTTTCTGATTTGTCTGTAGTTCTTCACTCAGCCCGTTTTGTTCAGATGTTAACCTAAATGGAAGCAGTAGAATAAGAAGTCCTGTAATTTTTCTGAGCTGATCTTTGCTCTGTTGGAGCAGTTCTTCAGACAATCCCTTTATAAAAATGTTTTCCTGCGTGAACCTGTTTCTTGATCTGATACTGTACGATGAATTCTGGTACTACCATATCTGGTACCATATATGGTAAGTGGAGTTGAAGATCCGGTTCTATAACATTCGTCATTTTAGTAAAGTGGCCCCCAAACCAATCTCCAATGACATTCTGCTCACTTTGTTGAAGCCTAATTTGCTACTGCAAGTGTGCATACACTTCCTCATAGAAGAGGAATGTGTACTGAGAGACCAAGTAGATGTAATGTAAAACGGACTCCTATACTCTGAACGACCTTTTTTGAAGAGTAATCTAGGTCACAAGGCTTCTGCACTATTGATCTAGGCACTCTTATTGTTCATCCAGACCAGGATGAACAATAACAAGAAAGATCAAACAACAAATATAGAAGGTGGGAGATTGTGAGAAGAAAAAAGAAATAATTTCCTTGTGATTTTCCATATTGTTCACATGCATCGGGTAAAAAAGTGACTTTCAAATTCGAGTGAGCGTTACAGTCGGCTTTGTAGCTTTATTGATGCTTCAAACTTGTGATGGATTTGGCCGATACAAGATGAAAATCCATAACTTATTTCAAGTAACACTCAATTTTGAGATTTTCACCAAACAGTTTACAAAACCGCGACACGTGTTTCGCTATTCAATAACATACTCCATGTATGAAAAAGCTTGAGAAAACTATTGTAAAGTGTCTAGTGGAAATTTCACAAAGTGTTACTTGATGCTTTAAAGTTTTGTGGCTGTTGATGAAAATATAACATTATTGGTTAAGCAATGAGAAATTGGAAATCTAGGAACAAATGACATTTTTAAAACAATCGATAAATATTCTGCTCTAGTATCATTCAAACTACAATGAAATATTCGTAATTAGGTGCAGGTATTCTGTTTGTCCTCTAATACTTTTTCAATCTTAACATTCCACTTGCTCAAGAATAAAATTGAAATTATTTAGGTATAGACGAAACGATAACAGCAAAATCTCTTGAAAAGATAAGATAAAATAATCACAGAATAATACGAATACCGTTCAATACATTTTTTATGATATTTTAGAAAAGATACCCTTGAAATATTATTTCAGGTGTAAATTACCGATTTGTAAACTTTGATTAAAACTGACAAAAAAATTACAAATTGCATTTTTTTCTTGTAGGTACTAATCGGCTCAAAATGAACCTTTCATTCAATTTAATAATCATAAGAGTACTTAGCAATATTATTTTTCTATTACTGAATGCATTCCTGAATACACATAGTATAAAACGTCGCTTTCCGCTGTCTGTCCTTATGTATGATTAGATTTTTAAAACTATGCAACGGATTTTGATGCGAGTTTTTTTAATAGATGAGAAGGTTCATATGTATTATAATATGCATAATATAGTAGAGAAACACACTGATAATTTTAGAGGTTTCTAATGTGATGTCGTAAATAAACATATTTTTTTGCGCTTACATTGCAAACGCTGGCTGCGCTTCGTCCTATAGCACTTTATGATTAATAATAATAATATTTATTTACTTCTCTCGTTAAAAAATATGAAACTTATTTTACAAAATAGTACACAGTTACAAGGAAGGCGTCCATGGGGTGTAGAACATAATAAATTAAATACAACACAAATTTAAAAACAGCAGCGATCGCTTATATCATATCATATCATAGATCGTTTATATCATTTTTAGTATCAGCATTGCACCCGTCCGGAGACGGGGCGGATCGCTAGTAATCTATGAATCGAGAAAATTCGTCGAATGATCCTATACATTGTAATCACAAGAAACAGTTTATAAAATTACACATATCTTAAGCTTATTAGCCCTCTCTAGTCAATTCGATACTTACTTTACTGATAGATTTTCAAACAAATGGCTTTATTGGTAGCTGATATATTATCATTGACTTCAAAAATGATTAAAAAAAATGAAAATTACGATACTTTCGAGAAGAGAATCAACATATATTTCAAATGGTGCGAGTTCTATAACGTGATTCTGTGAGTATATGTACGCATACGTCTACTTCAACCATATTTCCACTACTAATACAAATAGTGCAAAAGCATAGCCTACTTCAACAAGTACTTTCAAAAAGTTACTAATTTCGGTGGACTAAGAAACCAAGATATAAATATCTTCGCAAGGCACCCACCCCGTGCAAGGCTGAAATACGCTTGGCAACAGTGTTTCAAATACCACTAATAAGTTAAGGCGTTATCGTTTCAGTTCAGTGGATTTCA